TTGATTCTTATGTATATGTGAAAATTACTATTTTAATTATAACCTCATGCTTCAATAATGTCAGCACATTAACCTAACTTGGCCTCTTGGCATCAGTATAAACTGGAGTCATTTATCTATTATCATTAATGATCTGTGTCACCTAAAAATAAGTTAATCTTTATAATAAAAGTATTTAGAAAGCAATGATCATGAATTCGGTTTCAGTCCAAGTAGTATCTTAACTTCATGGCACATACACTGCTTGTATTTCAAAAAAGCCTCGTTGGGTAATTTTAACAGCTCTAGAAATGTAAGAATTTGTTTTCCTGCATGTTTTTATAGGGTTTCTTTTTCATTTTTTAACTATAAAGATTTTAGTTGAATGGATTATATTATATGCAGATTGATTTGCTATGGTTACATATCATGGCATCCTGAAACTCAGGTCAAAATAACAACCATTTTGTTTGCTCATATTTCTGTGGGTCAGCAACTTTGGGCTCAGCAGGAGTGTAGTCACTCATTCAACTGTAGTTGTTTAGCTGCTTACTTGTGGTGGACTCTCTAAACTGCCTTTATGTGTAGTCTGGTGGTTGGAGCTTCCAGTGGGCTGGGCCAGTGTCTTGAACAGGTTAGTCTGCACTTCATCACAAAACATCTGGGATCCAAAAGTATAGGGAGGCCAAGTTTAATGTGCAAGTAGTTTCCAAATCTCTGCTTGTGACACAATTGCTAATGTTCCTTTGGTTGATAGAAGTCAAATGAGCAATCCTAGTTTCCGTGTATGGGGAGACCAAACAGGGTTGACACAGCAATGGAGATGAGACAGCTAGGGATTTTTATTATCGTAATTGACACATATGATATTTAGTTCTTGAAACTATCTATTTTTTAGTGTATTTTCAGGTCTGTTATCAGAATTACTTAAAATCGGTTTGTCTCAAGGCTAGTCAGTGTCATTTGTTTCATGACACTTTTTTTTTAAGATTTATTTATTTTTATACAAGAACCGGGGTATAGGCCAAGTGCGTGGGAGGATGAGAGGATTCAAGAGACAAAGCAGGGAATAGAACAGGCAGACTGAGATAAATACACTGCTGAGGGGACCAGCGGGCGAGACAAGAGAGGTCTGCTTCGCCATGCGGGATTCTCGCCAGCCAGCCAGGATCGAACCCACCCTGGCAGAGGCTGTGGACAGCTTCACAGTGCGGCACTCAACTGCCTGCGCCACCAGGGAGGTCCTGTTTCATTACACTTTTAATGAAGAATAAATTTTCTGTCGTGAATCACTTAGTCACTAAGTCATAACAACTAATCTCTCTTCTGTATGTTTATACAGATATACACACATGTATACATAGGTATACACACCTCACACATATAGGTGTGTATATATATAGCTTTAAGTGCTTTACCACACATTATTGCTTTTAAGTAATAATAAGTACAATTTCCCATCAATTTGTTATGTAAAAACTTGCATACTTTATTCTTTAAACTTGCAACAAAGATGGCTAAGATTCTTATTCTGTACATGAGGAAATAAGGTCATGTTTATATAACAAATTGAAAGAACACACATATAGTTCAGTTTATCTCAATCACCAATTTTACATGTTTTAAACCGAGCAACTAATTAAATTAAGAATATTGAGATTCTTAGTAAGGAATGTTGATTTTCTTTTCTAGTAATATGTTTTGGGAACCACATTTTTTTTGGCTGTTCCCCAATTCACTAGCTTTGTATTTATTAGGTTGAAACATGGAATTTTGGTTTTCTAGCTTCTCAGATTTCTATGTGTTCAGAGCAGTTTGTTTGCTAGTTAAGAAATTTTCAAGTCAGTTGTGATAAAAGCCATTTGACTTTCGTTCTCTCAGTGCACTTACAATGAGTGTAGTTATAGAGCAGAATAATTTTTTAATTTGGTGGTCCTTTGTACAAATATACTCTGATGATTTGAATTTTTTTTTTAACAATTGTGTAAGACACATTTTAGGGACCACATTAAAGTCTTGTACCAAAATAAGTGAATATTTTAGCTGTTTCACTTCTAAAAAAATATGAAGATGTTTAAAATTCTCAGCGATATAATGCTCATTTATTTATAATTGATAGAGGAAAAAAATCTTACAGTGGTAGGTGATATTCAGAAAGTGAGTATATACATTTTCTGTCTTTATTCATTTCTTTAAATATTTGAGAAACATCTATAGTATACCATTGCTATGCTAGGAACTGAAAATATTGGAGGATATATCCAAAATCTCTGCCCGTTAGGTTGAAATTTTGTAAATATTTTTAAAATGATTTTGGTAGTATTAAAATCCAAGATGTGTAATATAAGAAAGTTAGTAGCTGTTGTTTTTGTAGAGTAAATAAAGAAGTGAAAAATAGTGGTTAAATATTTCTGATTTTTTTTTTCTGATTTTGGTTAACCTGTCATTAGTTTGCCTTACTGATTTTGAAATATTTTGGAAATTTCAAAGTAGTTAGCTCTATTCATGTTTTAGTTTAAGGCATTTTTCAATGGAAATAGTGGGCATTTTTTAAATGTTTATTACTTTGTTCATTTTGTAGCTGGCATACAATTGCTACTTTTATTTCACATAGTTGAAATTTGACTTCTAATTGGTAGACTGTAACAGTATTAATAATTAGCTAACACTTACTGAACAACTTACCTATGCCATTTCCCATTTTAAGCATCTACCATGATTTTTTGTCTTATTTGCTCCTCAGCATAACACTGTGAGGTAGATGTGCTTTACTGCCTAGAAACTGAGACTGAAAGATCGAGATGTTTATGGAAGGTCACATGCTACAGCCATGGAGCTGGAAGTGAACCCCACCCAGAGCTCCAGAGCTTGTATCTATTGATTCAGAATGACAATCTGTTTTCATAATCTCTAAACCCACTAATCTCTGAAATCAAAAAACTATAGAACAGCTTTAACAAACATAATTGACATAGACTAAACTGTACGTATTTAAGTGTACAATTTCTAAGATTTGATGCATTTGTATACCCATGAAGCCATCATCACCTCAATCAAGATAATGGACCTACCCATCACCCCAGATGTTTTCTTATGATAATCCCTTTTCTGTTACTAACCTGGACTCCACAATCTCCAGGCAACTGTTGATATGTCTCTGTTACAGAAGATTAGTTTGCATTTCTATTGCATATAAATTGTAATAGAATGGAATCATTAAAGATGTCATTTTTGTCTAGCTTCTTTCAATTATGAATATGTTGAGATTCAACAGTGCTACTGTATGTTTATTCCTTTTTTCTATTGAATAGGTTTTTTAGGTATATACCAACATTTGTTTTCCATTTATCTGTTGGGAGACATTGGATTGTTTCCAGTTTGGGGCTATCACAACATTTGTATACAAGTTTTCTATAGATTTGTTTTTCTTTTATTTGGGTAAATCTGTAGGAATGTAATGGGGCAGTAAGTAATTGCAAAGTGAAAACAGCTAGATAAAATAGTGTATTTGAAAGTTGCTAGAAAAGTAAACTTTAAAAATTCTCGTTACAAGAAAAACTTGTGACTGTGAAGTGATGGATGATAACTAGACTTACTGTTGTGATTGTTTTGCAATATATACACATATTGAATCTTATTGTACATCTGAAACTAATATAATTCAATATGACAATTATGTTGTAATTAAAAAAATAAACTGCCATAAATAATAGATGGAAAACATCCTGAGTGTTTGCCCTCATATTAAGTAGTATCCAAAATATGTATTGTATGCCTTTCAAAATGAAAAATTCTAAATTCAGGGCCTTAGTGGACTCAGAGTTTTCAGAAAGGTACTGTGAACTTAGAGCCTTGTGAAGTAATAAGTACTATGAAATGTTTTGGTTTTTTTTTGCTTCAGTAGACATTTCTATGCTTTGTTAAAGTTGGATTAAATCTTTTAGAAAGGCAATGCTGTCATATAAAACTCAATAGAAAATACAGATGATGAACCTTAAGTTATTAGACAATAAGTATTACCTCAAGGCAATAGTGAAACCATGAGTTGCATGTACATTTATGTGATAAGTGTTTGCATCTTTAAAATTGTCTCATGAAACTGTTTTAATGGGAATAGCAAATGTTCGATACGCTGTATCTTGCCTACCTAGTTCTGTATTGACAATTCAGAGTAATAATTATCATTGTGTATTATTTGAAGCTATTCTTTTGAAATTTCAAATACTTCATTCTTTGACAGACTATATAATAGATAGTCTATGGGAAAATGAGCACTATATGATTCCTATATGCTGTTCAAAGGACGGTATAGGTTCTGATCTTTAACCCTGAAATCAAATGAGCTGATACAGAAAATATTAAAATTGTTGGAATTATAGTAAAGTTTAACACATGCATTTAAATTACTATAATTTGTTAGTGAAGCCCTTTCATATCATCAGGAAATAGAAGAGATACATATTTCAGTAACTGTCACTGCCATTCCCTAGGCTTACAAATTAGTGAGGAAGGCAGGCTGTAACCCTCTTACAAGGTTGACCTAATGGAGATACAAAGTATTTGGGTATCAGTATCAGTGAGGTGGCTACTGCACTGAATTTTGAAGTGAAGAGCAATGAGTAGGAGTGTTTTCCCTAAAAGAAATAGAGCAGAGAAACTGAAATTAGTTATGTTGAATAACTCCTGAGAAATAAGGGTAGTACCAGGGATATTGTGGATATTGGACTGATAGTTTGTAGGTGAAAGGCTAAATTTGTGATGTATACAAAGTAATAGTGGATGACATAGCCAGATTTTAAACACATACTAACTTCATTCTATCTTACCATGCTATTTACTATAAGCCCTATATTCGATGTGAGTTGAATTAGCATAATTGAGTATTAATCGCAATGAATAGATAAATTTGATGGCTGATATTCCTAAGTTATATATATAAGTCATGATTTACCCACTAATATAATTAATAAAATTTACTAGATGGTTTTCTAATTTGCTTTTTGGGTGTGTTTCTCTTGCAGGGTTACTTTTTGCCATCTGCCTTTCCAGAGTAAGTGGCTATATGTGGGCACTGAACGAGGCAATATTCATATTGTCAACGTGGAGTCCTTCACACTCTCAGGCTACGTCATTATGTGGAATAAAGCCATTGAACTGTGAGTTTGAGCAGATATTCCATATCTGAAGCTATGAGTACTCTAAGTGATAATAAGTACATAATAATTAATCATAAATCTATGTAATTAAATTTATGTCATTATTGGTCTTTTTTAAGTATTACTCTATTTACAGTTTGTAAATGTAATTGCATTACATATAGTATGTATGTAGATGTACACACGTGTGTATATGATCACATGTATATTAAAATGAACTGTAATGAAGCAATTCTTATTGGGTGAAAAACACTCCAGTGTTTCTTTTGTATTCTAATTATTTTATTTTAAATGCTAGTCATTCCCCACTAAATAGATTTCATGATCCCCTTATGGGTTGCCACCAATGCTGGGAAAACACTGATCTAAGTCACCATTTGATTTTACAATCAGTGTAAATAAATGCTTGTGAAAGTTAAGAAGAATTAAATTGGCAGTTAATTTTGCTTATTTTTGATATTTAAAAGTAACAACAACAAAAACTGGGTTGAATTATAGGACCCTAAGCATCTTCAGTCCTAAATTCTCACTATTAGAATATTATATTCATATCTTTCCTTTTTCTCTGCTTTTTTAGTTATACTATTTAGATATAAAGACCAGCATTTAAGGACATTGGCAATATTCATTTTCAATGTTTCTTTTTGCTTTTATTTTTAAACAAATAGTTCTGCATTGCACTCTACAGAATTTGCACATGGGATAAATTTGTGACATCTCCTTTTTTCCCCCAAATTCTGTTAATTTTTCTATTCATATATAATAGCTGTATAATTTTGAGGGTACAGCTTCACAGTCCTGCATATGCAGGTGCTTCACTTGTCCTCCACCAGAGCTCCAGTGGAGACCAGTCATCCTGGGTGGCACTTCTCTGTGATATTTGTGTACAGCTGTGATAGTGTAGTAAGCCTGGCTTTCCTCCCTGTGGCAGGCACATTGTCATCTCCTCTCAGTCCTTTGGCACAAGATGTGGGTTTCTGTCTGCTGTTCTTTGAGCTGATCCTACAGTAGCTACTAGTGGATATGTCTGGTGTAGGTGTTTTTATGATTTCACAAGTGACTCATGAAGTAAACTTGTCTCTCAAGCCTCAGGAAGATGCTCATTCCTACTGTATTAGGTATCAATTTCATCCACATTCCAATCTAAATGAATGTTTTTCTAAGCAAGAACAGGTGGCATTACTTCCATTAATTTTTTTGAAACAATTTTTCCTATTTTGGTGTGATGAATGGAACTTGATGAGATGCTCCAGTTGCAGACTAGAATTGAGAAAACTAAGATTGCGATAATTTAGATAGTGCTTTATTAAAAAATATTAACTGAGAGTTTTACCATGGGAATGTATTTTCTCTTCTAAAATACTAATAGAAGAATTTTTTTCTATACAGAAACTGCACTTAATTGTAAATTTTGCTGACTGATGTCAGTACTAGAGCCACATTAAGAACTGCTGATCTGTTATTAATCACTTATTGGAATATTTTCATTATTTACAAATGTGTCTTTGTTTTCTGTTAATATAATTATAGTACTTAGTTTTACTGAAATTGTAATTAAAAAAATCTTTTTTTCTTTTTAGATCATCTAAATCTCACCCAGGACCTGTTGTCCATATAAGTGATAATCCCATGGATGAGGGAAAGGTAGAATTTTTCCTCAAATATTTATTTTACTTTGGTATTTTTAAATATGCAAACTATTCCAGGATACACTTGCTTAGCAAAGTTGTAACTACTAACAAAGTTTTATTTCATAAGTACTTAATGAGGCATTTACACATTTTGAAGAAAAAAATGAAAAGAACTCAAATAATCTAATTTTAAGGAACAAAAACCCTAAACAAGTAAAATTTGCTAAATACATTTACAGGTTATTATTTTTTGCTTATTGAGAATATTTCCCCTGATTTTCTGATAAAACTGAAAAAACTTTTCTTTTGGTTTTGAATTCCTTTTAATACTACAGTTATACAAATTTTGTAGCACATATTACATAATGATTTATTTTAAATTTGTCTCTGTATAGCATCACCCTGAAGTGTTCATTAATAGATTAAGGTATAGATTTTTTTAAATATTAATTTTTTATATTCTGAAACAGTTTCATACAGTTATTGCCTAGCTTTTATAAACTTTAGGTTCATCAATATAGTTAAAAATAACAAAATTTCTCTTTCCCTGACTTTCTATTTCCTACTTTAAACCAACTTTTCACATAGTTCTATTTAATAATACCTTTTTAACCTATATCATTTTGTGGTATTAGCCTAATACCAAAATGTTCATCACTATCAGAAATCAGTGAAATGAAATGTCTGGATTATGTGAAAGAGTTTATCTAGGTTTTCTCTTTCCTTGGTTAGTGAGCATGGTTAAGCCTCTACATTGCTCCAACTGATCTCTTATCTGCCACTGGAAAAACAAAAGGGTAAATTTGCTGTTTGCATTTAACTTATCATCACACAATTGTATGTATTTAAGAGAAATTTTATGTGAAGCAAGTTACAATAACCTATATCTCCTCATTTTTTTGATACAAGGCAACTTGTTTAAAAGCCAAGCGTTGTGTGGAAGGCACAGTGGGAGAATTGAAAACTCCCTTCCTTGTCACTTGAAGTTAGTCTCTAAGGTTTTTCCATCCTTCCTTTACAGTGTCTCTTTTCTATTCAATCTCATTATGACCACTGTAGTTCTAGGCATTCTAACCCATTCTAGAGTAATTTCCATAGGAGTCTTTCTAGAGTACCTTTTTAAATTTACTCTTCTGTTCAGAAGCTTTCAATGATCTGTAGTATCTAACATTTCAGGAAAATGCAGCCCTAGATTCCAGTGTCTTAGGACATCTTTACCTAACTGCTATATTGAAGCAAGAGTTACTGTTTCCCAAATGTGAGCTCTTCTTCACTGCAGCCATGTCTTGTTTATGTGAGTCCCTCTGGTAGGAATTCTTTCTCACTATTCCCTCTGCTGAATTCCTACCAACATTCTAAAGCTCAGATTTTAAAAATATATTTATATATTTATTTCATTGATCTTTCCTGATATCTGTGACAGAATATGCTGTTTCCTCCGAATTCATTAGCACCTTAGTGGTACACTTTTATTGCCTTGTATTATTTAATAGAAATGTGTGCATGTCTTAACTCCCCTCAATCTGATCTGAGCACAAAAATAATATTGATGTAGGCTTGTAATTCCCATATCATACAATATATAATAAAGTAGTCATTATAATATAATATAGTAAAATATATATAAATAGTACGCCCTCAATATATACTTGATTTATTAAGTAAATAAATAATAACTGCTTATATCATTCTCATTTTTTGAAACCTGGTATTATGTTAGTCTTCTTAATTTCCAGCTAATATCATTCAAACATTTTTGAGATTTTAGGGTACTAGAATAGATTATATTATTTAATCTTTGATTTCTAACAGAAAATTCCACTTATACTACAACAATGACTGTTTATTTCTAAATATATCTGTGACATTTTGTCACAAAAGAAAGATAAGCCAAGTTTCTTATGGGTGGATGCCACCATATTAAGCAAAGGTCTTGGCTAAGGAAACTTAGGCATTAGTGTAAAATTATTGATCATAATTGATATTATGATATAATATAACTACTGCTTTTGTGTCCGACCCAACTGGTCAGTTTATATGCAGTATTTTATTTTACTTTCCCAGCAAATTTTAAGTTAGATATCATCCCTGTTTTACAGATGATGAGGTACAGAAATTTGATGAGATATGTTTCAGAAGTACAAAGCTAGATATTGGTGGAGCTGGAATTTTGAACACTGATTTTTCTGATTTCAATCCCAGAGTACTCACTCCTGTTGTCTTATATTTCCTGCCTAACATATAGATCAGTGATTGATGTTTCAGAGAGCTGCATTCATGTACAATAAACCTACTAATACTTTTAGAGAGAAAAAAGGAAACTACTCACCAATGTATTAACTTTTCTGAGTTATAAAAGATTCTAATAGGAATAAGTATTATAGGATTATCTAAACTGAAATAGACTAACTCTTATGGGCACAGATTTCTAACATTTTTAGGATGTTACAGCTAGCTAGGGGTTAAAGTTCATTATAATGCTCTGATTTATTTCAGTCTGTATGGGTAAAATTATTTCCCATACAACTAAGAGGCAGATCAAAGCATAATGCTTTGGTTGTCTTCATCCTAAGCTCTACAGTGTTGTTTACACTAAATCTTTACTACATCTTGTCCTTACCATCTCTCTTCTTATCACTGAAGTTCCTTTTACTTCCTCCAACTGAAAATGCCATGTCGCATGTCTAAAATATTTGAAAGAACAGGGAAATGGAAAAGGAAATAACACTTTTCCCCAGGAATATATATCCCAGATTGGAAAAGAGGAGTTGAGTTCCAACTTACGAAATGTTTACAAATATGCAGTTGTACCTTTAGACTTAAAGCAGATAAATGATAATAGTTCTCAACAAATAAATGTTTCATATAATATTTCTAGATAATGTGCATTTTGTTTTATTACAGCTTTTGATTGGCTTTGAATCTGGAACAGTGGTGTTATGGGACCTCAAATCAAAGAAAGCTGACTATAGATACACCTATGATGAGGTAATGATACTACTTTCACAAATCAAGGCTGTTGTTCATTCCTTATTTCAGAGCACCTTCTCTAATAACTGGATTGGTGATTTTAGTTTAGGCAACCATTGTAACTGCAATAATACAAAAATTTTTTAAAATTTATAATATTTTTACATAGCTCTAAGATACAAAATCTCTCTCACCCCTCTGTCATTTTGCCACCCTATTCCCTTACCCAAGGTTCTAAATGTTCTCAGTTTCTCATTTATTTCTCCTGGAATATTCTTGCATTGTAAGCAAGTTAATAAATTCTATATTTTAAACAAATGATTGTTTGTATATAAATCTATAGTTTGCTTGTTTTAAGACCTAAAGATTGATTGCAGTTGACTGATAGATAAGTCCTTTAAGTCTCTTTGAAACTATAGGCATCTCCTCTCACTCTGCTTCCCTTCCTTACCTCGTTCCTTTTTTCTTTTTTCCATTTACTTGTTGAAGGTAGAGTCTCCCAAAGGTAGGATTTTCTGGATGCTTTCCTATTATTTTTAACAGCTTTTTCTTTTGCCCTCAAATTTCCAATAAAATGCATAGTTTACGGAGGCCTGATCAAATTCAGATTTTTCATTTTTAGCAAGACTGCTTCATGGATGATGCTGTTGATCAGGTGGAAAGTTAGTTTTCTTTGTGAAGTTTAAAGGTCACTGATATTCAAGACCTGTATCTATTAGTGCATAACAGTTGTTCTAATTCTATAATTCCTTGTCTGTTACTTAGGACACTTTAGCTGAAAAAAGTGATATAGTTCTGGCAGAATAAATGCTCAATCCTTTTATTTCAGTATTTAATCTAGAGGGTTGTTCTCTAGTAACCTAAATGGTGACCAATTTGTGCTTGTTTTTATTTCACTATGTGCGCATAGATTTAAACATATTTGGTATACTTCAGTCCCTTGAAGTTATTATTCTTACTCATTTTTCATTCATCAGTCTTAAGTGAGTGAACATCTTCTAATTGGTTCTTGAGTCCTTTGGTGATAACGGTCTTGGATAGTGTTCTTGCTATTTGCTGTAACAAATATATCTACTCATCTACGTATTTCTGTCTCAAACTTAGGATAAGACCATTTTCCATGAAACTGTGGGTGGTTTTTTTTTTTTTTCAGTGTGAAATGGTATCTGGTAACTTCAATTTGGATACTACTAGTGTTCATGAATTCCAATTCAGTGAGCAAATCTAGAGCTAGGACATGTGTAAGTGTTTTTTGTTTGTTTGTTTGTTTGTTTGCTTGTTTTTTTTCCCAGATAAAATATGTCTTCGAAATCATAATTTCAATTACTTAACCAGCAATAATTTGAATACTTTATAAATGTATACATATCTTCATAAGCATGAAAGAGAAGTTCCTTGATTTTCAAAGTTGCATATACTTTTTTAAAAAAACTTTTCAATTAGTAAGCATTCTCTAGTTCACTAATCATCTTGAGGCATGAGAAAGAGGATAGCCAGTAGTTTCTACAGAAATATGAAAGACTGGCGAAAAGATATTCACTGATGCCAGTGAATTCCACAACTTAGGTGAAATGTACAAATTCCTTGAAAGACACAAAATTCCTTGAAAGTACAAAACCTCAATACAGAAACAATAGTTAAAAGTAAGTTGCTCTATATTTTGTAGAGAAATTGAATTTTCAATGAAAATATTTGACACAAAGAAATAGTCTAAGAGGTCTTGCTCATGAACTTTATCAACGCAAATAAAATTTATCAAAACAGGTACATTATTTGAAGACCTGCCCTACTAAAAAGAGAGAAAATTTGAAATATTTTGAAAATACTTAAGAAATTTCCATGTAGGTTTTACTTTTAAAGTAAATGAGGGTATTGTCAGTTTAGGCCCATTTGGTGAAAAAATGTAACCATTTGAAATCTTTAACTAGAGAGAGAATCTATAGTTAATATCTTAGTTGTAATAATTTTATCAAGTTACAAAATTTATTATTCAGTAATTATCTTGTTAATTTACAAAACTTTGATGTTGTTTCCATTCTATAGTAGAATTAATAAAGAAATACATGTTAAAATGCTAGGGCCAAACAGGCATATGAAAAAATGTTCAGCATTGCTTGTAATCAGGGAAATGCAAATCAAAACTACAATGAGATACCATTTTACACCAGTGAGAATGGCACATGTTAAAAAAAACTAGCAAAAGCAAATGTTGGCGAGGTTGTGGAGAAAAAGCAACTCTCCTGCATTGGTGGGAGTACAGACTGGTCCAACCACTATTAAGAGCTGTGTGGAGATTTCTTGACCTACTAAAGATAGAACTTCCATATGATCCAGCAATTCCACTCCTAGGTATTTACCCAGATGACACAGAAACATTAATTCCAAAGGGCACCTGCATGCCTATGTTTATAGCAGCACTATTTACAATAGCTAAGCTATGGAAACAACCCAAATGCCCAAAAATAGATGACTGGATCAAGAAGATGTGGTACATATACACAATGGAATATTACTCAACAATCAAAAAAGATAAACACATGCAGTTTGCAGCAACATGGTTGGAGCTAGAAGGGATCATGCTCAGTGAAATAAGTCAGAAAGAAAAAGAAAAATACCAGATGGTCTCACTCATAGCAGGAATTTAGAAAACCTAAATAAGGGACCAGGAAAAAGACTAATTAATACAAAGTAAAAATCAAAATCAACAAGCAACAATAAACAAGAGACACACTACTGGGGGCGGGGAGGGTAGGAGCAGGGAGAGGAAGGATTAGGGTAAAAATAAGGGGGGGTGCAATTGTATGGGGAATATAACCAAAATGAAAATGCATACATTGTGCAAAGATGAAAAAAGATGTAAGAATTATATAAAATACTAAAAAAAATACAATTTAGTGTATACAAGAAGTTATTTATTCAGTGCTCTGAGCCCTTCTTTTTGTTTTTTGATTACCTGAAAATGATAAAAACAAAACAGAGTATTTCCAGCATTTGCTTTTCATATATTTATAAGAATTATAATTTAAAATCTATGTTAAATGATTTTTCTCATTTTATTATGTTGACTCTAAGGGCTTTAGCAAAGGTATATAATTACATTAGGAATCAATGTTGATTTTAAGTAGAATATGAAGATTAATATTATACAATTAATTTTGGTGTAAGTGCTGAAAGATGTTTATTTGTATATGCATAATGGGAGAGCAGCTGAACTAAAGCTTTATATACAACTTTTACTCTGAAGTGATTCTAATAATGATTAGTTTGCAAAAAACCAGTTGGTAGAGAATTTAATTTCCCTGCTATTCTGAGTTAGTATAAAATTAGATAGGTAAATCACTAGCCTGTTTTAATCACTAGCCTGTTTTCTTCTAGAAAATTATTCTTCAAGATGCCTCTTATCTAATAAGAATAGCACAAAGCATTGTATATACTACTTTTGCCAAAACCTAGTAATTACACACTACACTTTGCTTTAAATGTATCAGAGTAGGCAGTGCTTTTTGTTTTTTTAACTTTATCAAGACACAAATACTAATGTCAGCCTCTTAGTCCATTAACTGCCTCGTGAAGTTTATTATGGTTATGATTTCTTGTCAGACACTATCATTTAAGGAAACTGGAATTGTATGTTCTCTTTGTGGCTTTTACCAATAGCTGTATAACCCCCCATCTTCCTTTTTCTATTTTTTTCTACCCTGACTTCATCTTGTCTCCATAACAATTGTGTATCCCTTATTAGATTCTTATGTTTTACTTATTGTGCTCTTGATGTTTCTTCCTAGTCTCTTATTCATCTTTATCTATAATTTTTCATTTTGTAAAGATCAAGGAACCTTTTAAGAACGTCCCTGAAATTTTATATATCTTCTTGGCAAAGTAAATGTACCAACTTATTCACAAAATTCCTCAGCCTCAACTTATGCTTTGTATTTCTTATCTTCTCCCATGAATTTTTCACGTTTGCATTTTACCCACATCTGATTATGAGCATGTGACAGATTTGGTGAGTGAAATTTGATCTTCCCACTTTGTTTACATCCATTTCTACTTTATTTTCCCAAGAAGACTATAAAGAAGTTGTATAATTGCATGTATATAGTTTATATAATATATATTATACACATGTACTATTTATATACACATAACACTGCATATAAACTAAAACATATATATGTGATAATACTTACATATGTACATATAATCTTGTGTAGCCTATAGGTAGTACTATATGTATTAAAACAAAGATGATCAAGGGAAAAAATGAGGCCTTGTATCAAGTTGTATTTGTATTTAGAAAGTTGCAGAAATGATAGGAAAAAAATGTGTATGTTATTGCATGTAAAAGTTCATATTTGCTTATTCCTTTTGTGGATTTTCTGTTACTTCTTTGTCTCTGCTATTCAGAATAATTGGAAATGACTGGTTCCTATAATTTGTATTTTGAAATGCTTGCTAATTTAATATTCTCTTGAAAGATTTTTAAACAGGGATGTATGTTGTTTTCTTCAAGCAAAGTTGAAATATTAGTTTTCTATATAACATTTTTATGTATCTGATACATACTCATATGTGATAAGATTAGGATGTTTTATTTATAGATTGCAGATACCAGTATAGACTTCTTTTATATTTCCCTTAAACTATTTAAATAGCTTTGCATATAGCTTCTTAGCACTACTGACATTTTCCAAAAATAATTCAATCTATTAAGGCTACTAAGGGATTGCTTATTATAAAATTGAGTTTCTTCATTGTCATATGTATATTTTGGAATAAGTTTGTCACTCCTTCAAGATTTTACTTAGAATTTGTTAGAGATATTTTGAACTTAAGATACTGTGTTAAATAGTGGCATATAGAAATACAGTTGATTGTGTTTATCCATCATCACTTAAAGTTTTTTAATCTGATTCATAATACCATTTTATTGAACTTCAATTTTAAACATATGAAGAACCCAGATAATGGGCGTTGAATGAGGTGATAGCAAATGTTGATTTTGTACATAAGTAAGCAAAGTTCTTAAGTTTTAGTTGTGTGGTTTTGATGTCGCACCTTGCAGTTCTGAAATTCCAGTAGGGCAATTTTTAGAGTCAATTGACCACAACTAGAAGGGTATCAACTTGGGTTAAAAGTATTTAAATAGGAGTAAAGTAATTTAAAGGAGAGTGATTTTTTTCTTAAAATATTTTATAGACAGAATGATTACTATTAGGACTAAAATTTATAGGGTAACTTTACTTTGATCATATGAAATGTTTTCAGATAATTTTTATATGGTTCAAAAGCACAAAATAAATTTTGGTCAACTGAGAGGCCCTTCAAATCTAAAACATAGCCTCAATAATTATTGTGACAAATAGACATGTTTTGAAGCTCAACCAGAGATAGTTTTAATTCATCTTAATTCCAAGACTACATTTTTATCTTAGAATTTTTGTTACTTTTGAAAATTTGCTCTAATTTACCAATGCAGCTAGTTTTTTCAGTGAGATATGGTTGTAATTACTAAGCAATTTATAAACATAAAGTATAGCTTATTCTTAAAAAAACTCAAAGATTAATTTTGTTTTTTCTAAACTTGTATAGAAAACATATTATTATATTTTCCTTATGCTGGTTTAAGGAGTAAGTAGTAGAATTAAATGTGCTAATATCAAATTAAATTTCATTTGTATTGCCAGAGAATTATGGAAATAGAAAGCTAGCATATTGACTTTATCTTGAGAGATATAAAAAAGTTTAAAATGAAGATGAATTACAATACTAGTTATAAATAGCTTGGTACCTAAATAAATTGTTGTGTTTAAGGTGGAATTCTTTACCCTTCTTCTCTAGGCTATCCACTCTGTTGCTTGGCATCATGAAGGGAAGCAATTTATATGCAGTCATTCAGATGGCACCTTGACTATATGGAATGTGAGGTCTCCTACTAAGCCTGTACAGACAATCACGCCACATGGTAAGAATGTATCACTTTTGAACATTAAATCTTCATGAACAGAAGACATTTTGAGTTTGCATTTGAATTTCTATGTTTTTGAGGAGAAGGATTTTTTTTTCCACTTTGAAGGAATTAAAAATATTTACATAATAGAGAAATAATATCTAACAGTCATGTAATAAAGTTTGTAATTATATTTACAGTTGAAATTGCATATTTGAACTTTGAGAAATTCAGTTATCGTCTGAATGTTGTTTCTCTAGTAGTTCAAAGTGTAATATTTGTGACTAATGTAGGACTTAGAGTTTCTGCCATTTTAAAGTTGCTAATGTATTTATAAGTGTTTGAAGTACTTGGAACTCTATATTAAGTAATTTTGTACATTAAATTATTGTTTTGAGTATCCCCAAGATTAACCAGGGTTTAATGATTCACTAGGAAGCCTTATAGAACTCAGAAAAGGATACAGAACAAAATCAATAAAGGGAAAAGGCGTCTGGGTTGAAGACTGTGTAGAAGGAGGCTCAAGCTTCTGAGAGTCCCAGTAGAGTCCTCCCAATAGGGTACGTTAATTCTTCTAGAGATGAGTGAAATTTGTCTACCAGGAAGCACCCTTGAGTCCAGGAGTTCATTTTTTACTGGAGTCAGTCTGTAAGCAGGCACCATCTGTTTTATCACATGCCAAAACCTCAGACTCTCAGAAGGAAAGCAGAGTTTATCATGAAATGCATTGTTTGTACGTACAACACAGGCCCAGTGTGCCACCTCTATTGGCCTGGGAATGGTGGGACTGTCTTGAAAGCCAAGTACTCAGATGCCAGCCAAGAATTAACCTTCTTAGCCACCCTTTCTAAGGATAGCAATTTGAGACCTTCTTCAGTTTTTTTTTTTTTCTTTGCACAAGGCGTAACTACAAAACTTCCAAGGTTTTATTAGGGTATATATTAACAGATTATGAAGACCTTTGAATTTTGCATCAAACCTAGGAATTTGTGCTTTCTCATTAATCTGCATTTTTCAAACTTATTGTAAGAGATTTATTTTTTTTTTAAGATTTATTTATTTATGCCTACAAGACTTGGGGTACAGACCAGAGATGTGGGGGGGAGAGGATTCACCAGAGACAGAGTGATGAGCAGAACAGGTAGACTGAAACACACTGCTTAGGGGAGCTGCGGGCGAGACAGGAAAGTTCTGCTTCACCATGTGGGTTGCTCTGTGGATGGCCAGGGATCGAACTCATGCTGCAGAGGCTGCGGGTTCCTTCATAGTGCAGTGCTTAACCCCTTGAGCCACCAAGGAGGCCTGTAAGAGATTCTTTACCAACAAATTTAGCTAAATAAAAAGAACATTCTTTCAATTGGCAATATATTGGCAAGTACCCCTTTTAAGTATTGCTAATATTTCATTGTTTACTTTAAAATACAAATGCCCACTTTTTTTAAGAAAAATGATGCATTCTGAATTATTGCACTATAGGAAGTAAAACAAAATAAAAAACTTATTTTATCTATCTGTAGTATTGTGGGTTTGTAGATCTGTTTGTTTTCTCATAAAAATAATTATTAAAGCTGCATATTGTAGTATGTTTCACCATTGCTTTGTGGTAGAGGTCATCTTCTGGAAAAGCACTTATTTTGAATATGTTACAGATATATTTATGCATCCATAAGACAGTCCTTACGATAGTAGGTTGCAGTTTTCCTTAAAGTATTTTTTTCTTTTATTAGTACCTAGCTCACAAATATTGGCAATATTCCTTAGAATTCCCATAAATACTAGATTTCCCAGACCCACTAAAACATTTGAATCCAGAAAATCAAAAAGGAAGATTAGTTTTAAAACCATTAATTTCAAATCTAGAAGAAAATGAAATTAGTATTGAAGATTATAAAAATATATACAAATATTTGTTTGGCAGTTGAGGATTGTCTAAATTTTTTCTTTTTTTGTAGTTTTTTTTTTTCTTTTGAACCATTTGTTTGCATAGTGCCCATTCACCCACAAATACCCCAGTATCTGTTTCTTACAAACAAGAGCATTGTCTTATATCACCAAGTTTTGTGTTTTGTCAGAAGTGTCTATAGGTAGATTAGATTTAATTGTAATGTTCTTCAGTCTTTTTCAAACTAGGACAATTTTTGACTTTTTTAAACAATACATTTTGAAGATTTTAGAAGATGCCTCAATTTGGCTTTGTCGGATGTTTCTTCATGATCAGAGTCAGATTTGCACATTTGCAGTAGGACTGTCCCAAAAGGATTGATGTGTTGTCTTGGCACTCTTTCAAGTGGAACTTTTGTTGATTGGTCCTGCATCCATGATGCTTTCTACCTTGATCCTTTGATTTAGCTTCTGCCTGCTAGGTCTCTATTATAATGTTATTCTTTCACCCTTTGAAATTAGTAAGTATTTCTGTTTATATTTTCAGTCAGTATTTTGATTTGGAGGACATATTTTGAAACTCTGTAAACATACTATTTTTCATCATATTTTTATATTCTGGTTTTACCACTTGTTGGTTGATGTTTTTTAGCAGACTTAATTACTGTGAGGATTGCCAAATGGTGATTTTTCTGGTTAGTCTTAATCCCTTTTTTTATATAAAAAGCTTAAGTCCTTGAGAGCAGACTTTTAGAAGTGTCATAAATAAGTTTCTACAGTTTGTAGTATCTTAGCAAGTAAGGATCCTTAGATAAAATTATTTTTAAACAAACCAAAGAATATTTTATTTAACTTGGTTTTTCAAAATTAGAACTCAAATAAAATGTAAATGGAATAAATTTTTCCTTTGGCAAGTGTTAAAAAGTTGGATGACATAGCATATTATAGTGATCTAATAATGTAGATGATCAGAAGTACCCTTTATATATAAAATATGAATTATTTTTCAACAGCAGTAATGTTCAATCCTTCATGCCACTAGTAGGTAACTTAAAGTTAAATTTATGTTGATAGCTGAGTTCAGTAAGAAAACTAAGTACTTTTTAATATATTGAAGTACAAAATGCCATAAATATACCATATTTTTCATATATAATATTTTCATTCTAAATATGTGCTGTGATCGATTGAAATTTAGGATTTTTTTCTTCATTACTGTCTTCTCTTGTGGTCTCTTGATCTTTTTAGCAAATAGTTATGCTAAATTTAATGTACTAGACTTAAAATTTTCTCAATTTTAGGTTTTTTGTTTTTTGTTTTTAAGTATTTAAGCCCATCTAGTAGTTCAGTGACTCTTTCTGAAAAGGCACTCATAAGCATTGCCTTCATGGCCAGGGGACCCAGACTTCTACTAGTCCTTTATGATGATGATGTTTAGTGTTATGTTGTTTATTATTAAGAATAACTTAGGATGTCCTTGAAGAATCTTTTCAAAAGGTATAATATTGCAGCAGCTTAGCAGAGGCATTTGAAGCCAGAATACTTGTGGTTAAGCAACCTGGTTCAGTAGTTTCTAGCTCTGTGATCCTTGGGAAGTCAGTTAATATTTCTGAACTTTAGCATTCTCATTTATAAGTAGAGGTCACAACTAAATTTATTACAGTTTTGTAATTGTTGTGTGGGGATTATTTTTATTTATTCATTCAACAATTGTTGGGTCCACAATCACAAAAACAGTGTGATAAACACTGTTCTACATTCTGGATCAAATAAGCCAAAAAAAAGTGAAAATAACTAGAAATCTGATGTGTTATACATATGTGATTATAGTAAATATAAACATGGATATGTTTTTTATTGGTAGTGTAGAGCCAAAACGTTTTTAGATTAGTGTTCCCTGAAGTATATTTCACAAACACTAATTTGTCTTATGTTAAGCAGTTGTTTGATGAAAAATAATTTATAATACAATTACTATTCTTAGTTTCATCATATGTAAAGTAGAATTGAACATAGTAATTTTTTTTAATGTATATTTTTATTTTCCCCCTCTTTACACAAAAGTTTGTGTGATGGCCAGTTTTTCACAACTTGCTCTGTTAATTAACCAAGTGACTTCTGAAGGTATAAAGTTATGTGACTGTGTAGAAATTAAGCAGAATTGGGTTCAGACTACTGACTGCAGTTATTTTATCTTGGTAAGCCATAATAAATTTTTTTTAAAAGATTTATTTATTTATTTATACAAGCACTGGGTACAGTCAGAAGCGCGGGAGGGCGAGAGAATTCACCAGAGCCAGAGCGGGGAGCAGAGCAGGCAGAAGGACCGAAGTACACTGCTGAGGGGAGCAGCGGGCTGCAGGAGAGGTCTGCGCACCATGTGGGACCCTCCTCTGTTGGCCAGGGAGCAGCCAGGGATCAAACCGGCGCCGCAGAGGCTGCGGGCAGCTTCGTAACCCAGCACTCAACCACTGCACCACCGGGGCAGCCCCATAATAAATTTTACATATCTACATGGTGTGCCTAAAAGATGAGCTCTGCGTTTTTTTCTCTTTGGCCTATTCCTCTCCTTTGGCAGAGAGGCTTCATTGTTTAGTCAGCAAGAACGTTGATAGTCCTGGCATGACTCATATGTTTATTCTGAAGCAGTCATCATGGGTAAGCAGTTTGCTAGCCCAGGATGCCCAGGGTTGCCTCTGTGACTGTGCTGGGAGAGAACAGGTGGGGAAGGGAGATGTGATGTAGAGTGAGCTTACATACTGTTAACTTTTACAGAATAAAGTGATTCTCAATGAAAATGGAGATGTTAAATGGTCAAAATAAATAGGTGTCTGTAATAGGGAATAACATTTAAAAATGAGATCTGGAGCTTCTTTGTCAGTACAGTCTGTCTACTTATCAAGAAATAAACCAAGATTGGGGAACTTTTATTCTATTGAGGGTTATTTGAAGTAAAATATCAACGTTCCATATAAGTAAAAGTTAGTATAATATTTTATGGATGTAGCATACAAAAAAATCATATTCTCCTTCTAAAATTCACTTTAACAGAAGTATTCAATAAATAATAAAACCACACTTCAGTTCTTCATATATTCATATAGTTCATATAGTTCATTACAAAGTTTTTCTAT